TGAAATGTAATTTGACCATAGACACAACACTCCTGTCATTTACCTAAATACACGGGCTTCTATTAGAGCAAATATAGTACCTGTTATCAGAACCGCTTGTTCTCATAGGAACGTGATACCTTGAATATATAATATGAGATTTATTATTCACTTGTTTAAGCAGCTGTGTTGATATGATTGATGTCATGATGTAGTCTGTATAGTTTTTGAGCTTAATAGAGTGTGTATAGTATGGTATTGAGGCAATACATCTGGAAACAAGTATCAATATTTTAGGAGCAAGTTATTATAAAGGGGTGGCGCAATGAATTTCCGTAGTGTGATTATTATTATTATTATAAAAATGTTGTCACAATATTAAGTTTTTTATTAACCCTGTCATGTAGTCCCAGAGTGTGGAATATGGTTTCTGTGACAAAGTTTACTACATGTGTATGGTCAAGATAGACAGTGATATTCAATATTAGGAATAAAATAAAATTAAAAAAAATAATAGGATAGCATGGAATATTTGGAGCGTACAAAATATGCAGTTAGTAAAGTCCGATAAAATACTGAAAAAGATGTATGACATCACATCTAATGAAGAAGGTCGACTGGAAAGTTTTTTTTTTGCAGTTACGTTATACATGTATCTATTCTTATAACATATATTTATGTTTTATGTCTTGCCATGCCAGGAATGTAGTTAAATTGTAATTTTGGGGGATAAATATAATAATGTGCCAACATTTTACGACACCAAACAAGTGTACGAGGTTGACCCACAGATGTGTACGTGGTATAGCATACACATGCCTGCACATTTGTTTCTTTGTTTTAAATTGAATATGGCTGACTGGCAGCCATTTTGATTTTGTTTATGTGTCCACCCATTAATTACCACAGTTGGCTGATTTGATCCAAAATTGGCATGAGGTGAAACAAATATATTGAATAAACATTTTTATGTTATTTAATCATGATTGGATTTCTAATGGTCACCTTTTTGTCGTGCAGCAAATATTTGAAATAAAATTAGAAAAAAAAACATTACTACTACAATATTCTATGCTTTTATAATGATTGAAATTTCATTCAAACCTTTGATTTATTCAATTTCTTCTTTAAGCAGAAGAACTATTCAGGTTGTGTTTATTTTTTATTCAATTATTTGGAATTACAGAAAATGCTGGTTTATGTTGTATTAATGAGGATACATACAGGAATGTATTTTGTAACCAGTTTTAGATGGACTTGCCAAATGTTACAAAAAATGCTGTTAAATTCGCAATGCTTGATTGACGTTTACTTGTCAAAGACTTAACACAAATACTCTTAATGGTATTTAGTTCCTTTATGTCATCATATGAAACGTACAGTGTCATATATGAGTGGGTGTGATGACGTCTGCCTGCTGTACTCAGTCACACACATCTCGTGGGATAACATTAATTAACCATTTGAAGGACTGTTATTTTCAGTCAAAATTTTGATGAAACATTTACACATTTTTATGCATTTTTCTATAATTTCTTTGTTAATTTTTGATCAGATGTGTAGAGTTGAATATTGGCGAGAAGGTTTTGATTAAAATTTCTTTTAAAGGGCGGCAGTCGTCGCGCCGTTTCCTGTTCGATATGGGACTCATAGCGATGTATACAACACGTGTAAAATACATTGTTTATTTACATGAAATTCGCGACGACCACCGCGCTTTAATTATGGAAAAAATGTATGCATTTTTATTTTGCGAAAGGTCACTCATATTAAAGGGTGAACGCTGCAACTTGGGTTTGATGTGGATCGTATTCTCAATCAATCAATCAATCAATCTTCATTCAGTACTGGGCCACGATTCATCGTACAATATTTAAAAATACATAGGTAGAGGTGTTTTTCAAAAAAATGAAACTCATACTACTAATTATGACACCACAAAAAAAAAATTATTGATAAATCAATCAATTATACATGTAGCTACAAAATGTACATATATGCACACAGAGGTAACAAAGATGACTGTCTTCAATAAATGTTAAAATTTAGTATTATTTTAATTAATGAAAAAAAATGCCTAGGTAGGTGATGTTATTCACTTGGTGATAATTATGCATGAAATAATGTCTTCAGATGATTGTTTGCATTGTATCATTATCATCATATATTATGGAGTTTCTGATGCTTGTCAACATTCATATCTCATATATCTGAAAGATGCACTCAGAAGAAGATGAAATAGTTACCTAAATATTAACGAGGTTCAAGCCGAGTTGAAGATTATAAATCATGTTCACCATACTTTCATTTTTATAAGTTCATACCATCAGAATACCAAACTACATTTCGGTAACCAGATGATTTTTTGAAAAATGTCTGAAATATAAAAATGGTCAAAATTGTCATTTTTACACAGGTTTCTATGATGAATTTATTTATTCATATCTGAAAATTTTGCTCAGTGATATGGGATATATACAATGAGACTTTATCTCCCATGATGCATTGCATAATATGCAATAACATGCTCAGTAGTGCATATTTTGAGTGCAGTAAATATTGCACTAGACTGCAGTAGAATTCCCATAGGCTACAGTGTTAATATGGCACAAGTCTATCTACCAATAGAATTCCCATCAGTTTCTGTCTGCATTTTTTCAAAATAAAGGAATTCAAACATTTTCAGATGTGGATCTTAACATTGTCAGATTCAGTCTTGAACTGAAAGCCATCAGCTTCTGTTTTTTTGCAGCAGATGTTATCCAACTCTAGTCACCTTGTATCGATGTCATGCACTCAATTTAACCCTTTCCTCCAATAATCTAGCACATGGAAGCACAAATCTTTCATTGATTGATGAGTTGAGAGAAGGTATTATGTAAGTGGATTATGGCGTGACTAAGATGAACAGGAAAACGGATCAATTACAATGTGTATACAGTTGTATGAAACATTACTTTTGTGAAACGATTCCATCAAATTATGTTGACAATAAGAGAGCATATACAGCTTTTACCTTGCCTGTGTCATCATAGATGATAGCAAAGGTATATGGGAATAATGTCTGTACATGTTATCATAGCTGACTTCAGTGTAAAACTTTTTCTTGTGGTTACGATAACAGTTTTTATCCAATCTCTTTCAACTTGAATATTTGATGGCCCAGTTTAAGATGTTGGTCAAGTTCTATGATGGTTGATTACATATTTCACATAAATTGTCTTCTTTTTGTTGTTACAAGACAAGAAATCAAACAATATTTTATCTGATTTCCATTGTCGTTGAAACTGTATTTTCTTTTTTTTTTGTGTTTTGTGTATTTTTTTTATTAAAGGGCAGTGGTAGTCATGCTGCACATGTGCAACATTTGTGTTGATAAACATTGATTCTCCCACAATCCAATGCACTCTTCTAATGGGAATCACAAGTATGAAGTTTGACCTAGGCATGACTCACACTAATTACCGCTGGTGACTCATTCAATACCTTCCTATCACCTAAAAACTACATAATTAGAGCTTGGTAACGTCTCAGTTTGTACTCGTTGATCTGCACAACAGTCAAAGTTGCCATCTTTGTTTATATGACAACCATATATCTTGCACATGCGTGGTTCAGCAACTATCGCCATTTAAGTCTTTCATAAATGACTATAGAATTCATTTGAAATAAATAAAAATAAAAAAATAAATTATGTCAGTGACTGCTTCAGTTTCATGAGATATAAATTTTCATGCCTAAAAATTAACTATTCAGCACAGTTCTAAGGACAAGAATCATGCAGTCTACTGCAATATTCATCATCATCAAATGATTCATTGAAGTGAAGGATTAAAGTGTGCCCATATTTTATATGACGCGCTGCGACAACATTTGTCCTCTTAAAGTTTATACTCGAATGTGTTTATTGCACCATCTATAGTCTTTTGATTGCCATGTGATTGCTTCATTAGAATTTATGAAATTTCAAATAAAAACATGGCAACCTGTTGATTGAACTCTTGGTTACTACCAAAAGCATCTACTAAAACATTTTTCACTTTACTACATTTATTTATTTTACTATAATTTGTTGGTTAATTTTGAATCAAATGGACGATACCCTCCCATCACCATAGACATCACCTATTGGTTTTCATCAAAATGTTTGAAATTATGAGCAAAATTATGTGATATCATTCTGTGAATTGTGACATAAGTTCTTTCTAAGGGTTAAACTTGAGTCTCAGTAGCATATTTTATGTGTCAACCTGCAACCTGGGGATTGTGACTGAGTTCTATTTCAAATGGTGTTTCATCACGGTTTATGATTACAGTCTTTATAAAACCTGGTCACTTGATGGTTATAAAAATTACCCACACTCTTGCTTAATTTCCTTAATGCTCATAAATAGTTATTGCTTCTTTGATCAGTCCTGTTTAGAGAGCATTACCTGACGCGTAGTGCATGTCTGTGTTTTCAATTTGATGTCGTGTGTCGTATCAGGTCATATCGGGTTGGGAAGATTATTACTCGTTCGTACCTCATGAATTGATGGGTAATACATTAAACGCTTCGGCAGCTGTCCATTTCGCAAATGTTTTCACTGTATTATTGCATGCCAGTCAGGCAGACAATGCTATAGCCATTTCTATTATACAGCTCTCGTACAAATTGAGTTTCCAACGTCATTTTGTTGACTCTGTTTAATTTCTATGAATTTATATTGAGTCAATGTTTGTTATGTGATCTTAAAAAGTGGGAAGGCAAACATGCATATTAGAATAACTGAATAATTCATGGGATTGTGATTCTGAATTGTGACCTGATATAAACTGTGCGATGTGACAGACAGGATGCTGTCCGGGGGTGCAGCATATGGCACATCTTACCCAGGCAACTACTAATTTTAGCATTTTGGGCAATATTGAATATGAATTAGAAAAAAGACTTAGTTACTGTCTTTTTACATCACCCTGCTGCAATCATTGTAAGGCTTATCAACTCATTGTCTTTTTTTCAATTCTTGTATTTTTTACAGATTTACTTATTAAGTGGACAGTGAGTTGTTGTAATTGGGAGGTGAAGTCATAGCTAGGTGACTTAGTGTTTACATTCAAGTCAGAGGTTGTTACATATCTAGTATCAAGAATCTATCGCTGTTCCTTACTGCTCCTAAGTTTGGTTATATAATAGGCTGACTGGTAAGAGTATATTCTACATTAATTCGCCACGGTCGTCTCACAGCGTTATGTGCGATATGTCTCTCGTGAGAAGCGTAAAATACATTGTTTGTTTAAATGCTTAATGCTTAAGGACTGTGGTTAGCGTATGTGTGCTCATCCTGAAATTTGCCGATATGAGTTGCCCTCTGTGTCACTCACTGTATGGACTGGCTATTAAAGATAGATATACTCATAGCAATGTAAAGACTTGAAAAGCAAGAAAAACTGTTATACATAGAGCCAATAATTAAGTTTATATTAACATGACAATTACTGTAAAATGGTTAATTTTCAGTGGGTTTAAACATCGCTGATTTAGCATTTCAGGCATATTTAGTGGGTTTTAAATTCACGGTTTTATCATTTTAATAGATAATGTGTTCTATGCTCATTTTTACATATTCACTGGGTTTTTATTTGGCTCATTTTCCAGTCAGCGAAATAAGCAAAATTAAAGCCCAGTGAATTATTCACCCTTTTACAGTATGAGAAAATGTTTTCACCATGTTTAAAAGAAAAATAATGGATTTATGACTTTATCACATGCAATACTGTGCAGAATGATTAGACATAGTAACAGAGGACAGATCAAATATGCATATTACATGTACATTTGTATGACGCGTCTTTTTCATTTTACGCATTGATAGAAACATGTCAAAGTCAAAATTGTCATCATTGTGGATGCTTTTAGTTCTTTGCTAACTGAACTCTTGATACAAAGTAATTTCTGCCATAATGTGTTTGAACTGCAACTACATCTCTGACCCGAAAGAATAAGTCTTTACCATTCAGAATGTCGTTTGGTACTAAGGCAATTCTCAGGGAATCCCCAAATATCATTGTACGGGTTTACAATTCTAAACCTCACAATTGTGAGTAGAAGTTATAAACCTCAATCAGCCTTAGGTCAATCAGGTATTGTAGTCAAAACACAGATGTACAGTGCATGTCTGTGTATTATAATTAATGATACATACAGATAATACAAATTATACTATTCGCAAAGAAGTAATGTCGATTTTTAAATTTAATTTTTATTACATTTCGTGGCTAAACTCTAGAATACACGACCTTCAATCGGGGTCGTCAGTTCGGCATATGTTAATGAATTGGTATATACAAATTACAATAAAGATACTTAATTATGCAGTATACTGAATGTAATGCAGAATTGTATTACTGATGTTGTAGTGCTATCTGTTTGCATTGATTTTGGGGGAATAGCAGTTTTTGATTAGTAAACAGAAACTAGCTCATTGTCAAAACATTAATGACCGATTTTTTTTCAGAAATGAAACAATGATCAAAACGAATGTCTGTTGTCCAAGTTTCATAAATAGACAGTCAAATTTAGGGGATATCAGAAGGGGAGGGTGACCCCAAAAATAGAAAATATACAAAAGTGAGGGGCGGCTGCTTGATGGGTCTAAGGTTTTAAGTAGGTCATATATAATAATCCTGCAAAACGTTCTTGTAGGTTGACGTCAGCAAACATTACCAACATAGCAGCCTGATGTATAGCAGGAATGAACCATGTTTTGTTAACTGTGAGATCATGCATTATGCGTGAAATCAAATGTATAAGCAGATCAAGGTGTCCTAATAGAAACATCCTGTGAGATTCAACAAATGCAAAACTATGTCAATTTCAATGAAGTAAGGGTATCTCATTGCTATATTCCTCTTTGAAAAATTGGCATTTAGACATAGAACTTATAAAAACAGAAAAAAGTACAAAATCAAATCATTTGATTTTTGCAGCAGTTCTTGGATTCACATCTTTCACATATTACTTGAGATCTAGCACGGAACGGAAAGTCACTGATTACACATGTCTGTTGATGTCAAGATATCAGAAAATATTGTGGAATTATCTACTAATATCAAGTGTTCTGTTGAATGTTGATTAACGCTCAATTCATTTATCACAAGTTTCAAAGATAAAAAAATGCTAATTCGTTTTCAGGGAAACTAAATATTTTCAGCACATCAATAATAGATCTAATAGGTTATTCATCATTTTTTTAGATATGAAACATAATATTACAAAAAAAAATAATATGCAAACAAATATTGGAATTTAAACTAGTAAACTCCATAATGTCAAACATCGTGTCCAGTATTATCCAGTTATATGTTATTGTTCAGAAATCACATTGATTTTCACATGACGAAGATCTAAGCTGAATGATTAATTTGGCATTCAACTTTTTACGGAAAGCCTGATGAAATTGATATTGAACGGGTAATTATTTTGATACATGTAGCTGTACATAATTAAAGTAAAAGTGGGAAAACTACTTAGCTCATTAAAGCTATAATAATTTATCTCAACAGGATGCCACTCTTTTGTTACTGTGTTTCATTTTGAAATTAAAATTGGGACAAGATGACTAATTGCTTCAGGCAACAATTCTAACATTTGGATGAACATCATCTTTTTAAGCTTTCGTTAAACTTAATGACTATCATTTGCGTGTAGCTCAGTTATTGTTATTCACTAACAATTTAACCAATTTTCTCACGTCAAGCTCACAAAAATAAAAAAAAAATACTGTAAATTTTCACTGCTAAGAATGTTCATGATTTCAAGCTTTTACAGCATTCATGAAGACATGCATGTAATTTTTCAAATGTCACTGACTGTCTGTGTGATAGTGTAACAGAAAAATGTTTACAACTACAAAATTTGTGATTTAATTTGACTTGCAAAAATTTGTGTCTTGCAAAATTGAAATGGTTTACAGTAATCTCACCAGGATTGTAAAATTTCAAACTTGCAGAAAAAATGTGTCCAATTTACGGAATACTGGTACCATTTTGGGTGTAACGATTAACATTATTTATAAGTTTAGCTTCTCAGAATAATTCAAAATTTTATAATTATGAGTTTTTAATTTTTATTTTTGTTTACAAATTCATTAAAGGTTAATTTGAAGCAACAAAGCATCCTCTGTAACAAAGACAAATCATTTCTCCATACTATATGTGATGCACGTTATTGGCACACACAATTGCAAAAAAAAATGTGTGAGGCATAGGTTTCAAACTGTCATGGGCGATACTAAGAAGCAAAATGTTTTTTTTTTCAGCCTAATGCCTTGGCTTCAGTCATTTCCCATATTAAAGTTGTTTCTGATAACTTTTCTTTTATACTCAAACACAAAAATTATAGACAGTATATAGTGCTATGGTTGTCATATGTACCACTTATGAAAATGTCCAATAGGATTCCTACATTTATATGTATAAGTCCTATAGGAATAATATTCTTATAGGATCATTCATGTGTTTCTGCTCCAGTGCACATATTCACTATAATATCAAACAGGTCTCACTATATGCTCATACACACACTATTAAATAAGTCGCAAGGCTCATATATTCAAACTATCAAGTAAGAAAACATTATTAATCTTGTGTGCTATATGCGAGTGCGACATTAAATACATACAAGATAAAAATCAGTGTCTTGATAGCAGCAATGTCTTGAATCCAATTACAATCTAAGGTGTTTTGTTTTCAAATTCTGACGAGATTTGACAAGGATCAGTTGAGACACAGATTATATGTCATTGACATGCTAGAAAGAAATTAAACACAGTAATGGCTGAATATGACATTTCTATTAATAATGTATTCCTAATCAGGCTTTGAGTATATATTGCAAATTAATAAAAATGTGTGGAAGCGAAGCAGCCTTTTTTTTTTTTTTTTTTTTTTTTATTTATTTAAGCTATATTTTTATTTCGTTTCTAATCAATAATGGACATACAACACAAACTATTACATCACATAAAGCGAAGCAGCTTCTCGCTGAGATGAAATGAAACCTGTTAACGTTGCTATGATTTCCCACTTTGTTGCTTGAGTATCAGATAATAATACATGATTGCTGGTGTTTGACTAAAAAGTTTTTTGCCACAATTGTAAGTAATTCTTGTTTTGGAAACAACTTTTTGCAAGGAATGGTGTACTTGTATTTTTTTTTTAATATAATACCAGAATAAATCAAGCTTTAAATTTGTGAATGGAATTTTAGTAAACGGAAGTAGGTTTTAAAAATGGTAATCTGATACGTTTAGAGTGAGCAGTCAGCTTTGTCAACTTTCTTAATACCAGTGTAGTTGATTTTTACATTATCATTCTAAAATCTAACATAATTGTAATTTAAACTTGTTTTGTGTATGACGAATGGTGCAAAGCTTCATACATGTACCGGTATATATAATTCCAGGGCCTCTTTCACTTAACAATTCTTTGTTGTTCTTTTATTGTGCGATATGTTGGTACATGTATAATTCTGGTACATACTGTGGAATACTTTATTTTCATTGGAATTAATTTTCGCTGAAAAGACATTTTGAGCAGTTTGTATGGTATTTGTTTTCACTGATTTTTGATGAGTTTAATGTGAAATATAGGAAAAAAAGTATATTCACTGGATTTTATTTTAACGGAATCATCCTTCAGCGAAAATAGCGAAAATAAATTCCAAGCGAAAATAAAGTATTGTACAGTATATAACACTTGTTTGAATACAAGTCAAATTTCAATGCAATTTTGTAGTATACATTGTACTATGTGAGGGCGTGTTGTTTAATTCATGTGATAGCCCTATTCTGTGTTTGCCTGTCTCAATGAATGTTAATATAATAATCACACGCTAGATTCAGGTAAAACTCGTGAGGTTTATTTAAAATCTGCTCTATCATTGACTTTAGTACTTCAGAAATAAAATATTTATATTTTAATTTAGGAGTCATGAATTATAGATAGTGATTGAGTATTATGGGATATCTTGAAGTAAATATTATTTTTTAACATGTATGCAGTTATTGGGCTACATTGTATGCTGTGTTTGTTATTGTCCCCCCCCCACTGATGTTTCACAGTCATTAAATCTACTAATATGAGCAAGGTCCTTTGAATCATTGAAATTGCCTGCAGCAAATCAGTTTACAATATTTGTGACA